GGGCCGAAAGGCGAGATTCCGGGCGGGCCGGCCGGCGGCTGCGAAAGCGGCGAAGCAGCAGACCCGCCCCGTGGCGACGCGAAAGCACAAAAGCCCCGCAGCGAGTTGTGGGAAGAAAGCGGAGAAAGGGTCTGCGGGCCCTCCCTCTCCGACCCCGGGCCGTGACCCCTGGGGAGCGATGGGTCGGGTCCCCGGGCTCCGGCTGGAGGCCGCCAGCTGCCCGCGTGCACCGCGCCCGAGCGTCCCGGGGAGCTGGCGAGCGAGTCGGCGCGGAGCGGAGCGGAGCGCGCCCGTGCGCTCCAGTGGGTCCGCGGGCCAGCGAGACCGTGCGCCTTCGGAGCGCAGGCGTCTCCGAGCGTGTGGCTGCCTGCGCGAGAGGGAGCGTCCGCGGGTCTGCGAGCGCGCCGCGCGAAGAAGGCATCCCGAACGCATCAGGTGCCGAGCCGGGCGTGCACCGAGCGCAGTCAGGAGCGCACGGCGAGCTCCGGGAGGACCCGGCGTCCTGGAGACCCTACGGAGCTCCGGCGAGGCTTCCCCTCCAAAAATGGGCCATTGGAGTCCAGTGGAGGAAAAAAATAAAGAACTCACAACGCTTTTGCAAAAAGAAACAAAACCCAAGCGCGTCCCAGTCCTGGTCTCTCCCGCACCCAGATCCAATCCTCGGGTCCTTGGATCCCAGCCTCCCTGTCGGCCGGCGGCGAATCAACACACAAATAAACCACAAGCCGATCCCGCGCCCGAGCACCGGTCCGCATACGTATGAGCCCCCTCCGGCTCTCGGCTCCGCCGCCCGCCCCTGGCAATACAAGGCCGCCCAATCCTGGGCCCTCCGTCCCGTCCTCAGACCGCCCCCCAGCCCACCCCGCAGCCTGCGAGCCCCCCACCTCTCACCCTGACCATGCCCGGGAGGGGAGCGGCTGGGGGTGCAGCTGCGCCCAAGCTGACAGCCAGGACTCCCCGCTTCCAGCCGACCCCCAGCCGGCGGCGGCGGCGACGGCTGCAGCCGCATGAGAGGGGCGAGCCGAATGCAAAGAGGCACGATTACAGCCACCCACCATCCACCTCAGGCAGTCTGGGCTCTCACAGTGGGTCACCATGAGTCAGAATCCACTTAGGTTGGGGGTGGCAGTCATCTTTATGGGAGGGGATCACCAGGTCTTTCCTCCTGTGGTTCTAACAGCAGACCTCTCAGGCAAGCAGCAGAGAGCATGAGCCACTGGGGCACCAGGTCTCCTTCTTCCACCCCTAGGTGGAATGAATGTATGCAACCCAAAAGCGGGGGGAGGGAGGAGCGTGCACCGGTGTGAGTGGACGCATGAGAACACACTTAGGTGAGGTACTGCACGGATTCTGACACCCAAGCACCCAGGGCCAAGAGGATCTTAAAAAAAAAAAAAAAGCCAAGGAGATAGGTGGTGAAGGCGGAAGCAAAATCATAAGAAACACAGACCCCCGCAGCCGGGGAATAGGAGCCCTGGTGAGGAAGTGGGAACACATTGGCCCGCTAACCTGGAGGTCAGCTGTTTGAAACCACCAGTACTCCATGGGAGAAAGATGAGGTAGTCTACCCCCATAAAGAGTTAAGACCCACGTTTTTACAGTTCTACCCAGATTTATAGGGTAACCATAAGTCAGAATTGACTGGTTGGCAGTGTTTGGCTGGTTTATAGCAGGGGTGCATCTGCTGGGTCCGTCAACTGCCAGTGTGGCGCGTGGGCTCCCAGGAGTGAGCAAGTCCTGGACTTTAATGGAGGCACCACTGGTAAGATGGGGCACCTGGGTCCACCTCACGCTGCAACCGGGAAGGGAAGACTAGGCAGGGAGACAAAGGGCTCTGCCAAGGCGCAGCTCAGGAGCAGGGCTGGGGGCTCCAGAACCCTTTTGAAGACCGCACAGGCGCCCGAGCCTCTGCCACGGTGGGGCCACGATTGCAGTGAACCAAGCAGCTGCAAAACAGCCCAGGGTTTCTACCTCCCTCTGCCAGCGCTGTTGGCCTCTACCCCCAGAGTCCTCTTGGCTCCGGGGCCGCAAGCTCACCTAGAAAGGGTTAACAGGGTGGCTGGTCAAGACACTGGCTGCCGACTTGGGGTGGGAACTGTGGCCCTGACTGGGAGAGCAACCATTCGTCTGCGCCCAGCTAGCTTTCCGCAGACGGGATTTCAGAGAATTAAGAAGGCGCAGCCGAAAGAATGAAAGCATGGTTCCCCAAATTCCCTTCCAAATACAAGCTCTACGGGTCTCGAGGGAAATCAGGGTGGCCCTGGGTCAGGCGTCTCCCTCACCCACCGCCAAGCGCCCGCGATCGGCTGGCGCGGGCTGCAGCGCCGAGCCGGGCGCCGTGGGCACAGCCAGCCGCTCACCCGCTAAAGTAGGGGGATGGACCTCGCTTCCCCCGCCCCACACACAGTTCCCAGAGACCCCCCGGCAACTTGGAGGACTGCACCAAACTTGGGGATTCAACTTTTCCTGGAGAGCCAGACAGCAGAAAGAAAGAAGCGGGAGCGAGGGGGAAGGAAAAGCGAAAGAGACGGGCCGAAAGGCGAGATTCCGGGCGGGCCGGCCGGCGGCTGCGAAAGCGGCGAAGCAGCAGACCCGCCCCGTGGC